CCAAGGAGGGGTCACTATGAGTCTGGGCCGACTCCACGGCAAACAACAACATTGAATAAAAGAACTTCTGGTATTTCCTTTAGCCTACGAGTGCTGTGAAAAAATTATAGACACCAAGGGTGCAGTGAACCAAGAAATAATGCCAGAGAGATATAGCAGAAGGTGTGGTGGACACTGTGCTTGGTTAATCCAACATCTTTTTTCATCCTCTTCTCCCTTATCTACATCTGCCATAAAGATTGGGAAAAGCTAACATTTTCCAAGCTCTCCATGAAGTGTAAGGAACACATGCAACCTAGGTATGGCCAATTAGATGGAATTGGATGACAGCTAGAGCAGGTGGGAAGTGGGGGTGCTTCTGGAAAAGCATTTGCTTTTCTAATAAAAAACAGAAATGCCCTGTTTCTACCTTCCTTCTGGACTCAGATGCAGCTAGTAGTAATACTTGGGGTCAGGAGCTATCTTGTAACCATGAAGGAAAGGCCAAAGAAACACCAGTAAAAGCTTACCTTTGGATGTCATGCTATTTAGAAAATAAATCCTATTTGTTTAAGCCAGAGGAAGTTGGACTTTCTGTTCTTTTCAGAAAAAAGCATTTCTAGTGACAGGAGGAGTTTAGACACTAAAGGGTTCACAGAGGGTCTATCTGCTGCTGAATATCCCCAACAGCGTCTAGCATATAGTAGGTACTCCACAAGGATTTGTCAAAAGAATAAACTGAATTGGAAGGGATAAAATAACAGAGGAGATTAAATAAGAGACAAAAACAAAATCCAGACAAGTAACATAGGAACTAAAACTTAAGTAGCAAAAGTGAGGATGGAGAGGACTAATTAAAGGGATAAAAGAAATATCACAAGAGTCTCTCTAGTGACACAAATCCTTAGGTCACATGGAATATTGCTAGAAGTTCTAATATTTGACCTATATATCATTTAACTTAAAAGCAGCATTTGCTACATATAAAATTTTTTTAAAAAAAACCAACTCACCAGGATACTGTTTTGCTGTCAGCTCTAGTTTATGAGATAACAGCATGGCGCCACTGGTGTTATCTATTGTGTATACCTGCACAGAACCACTGAGAAAACAAACAAACTTTAAGAAAATTGATTTAGTAAAAAAAGACAAATACAAATATAAAAAGCATTATTAAGGGGAAGGAGTGTAAACTGAAACAAAATCATTTTGTAAAAAATTTGCAGTCATCTCATAAATTTGAATACACACCTATCTAGCAATTTCTTCTTCCCACATTGTACCAAAGGTGATTAATGTGACCAACTGCATATGACAGAAAGAATGATGTTATATCAAAGGTTGGGGTATAAAAGACTTCCATTTTGGATGTTCCCTCACTCTGGGTGGAGCTGGTACCATGTTTACAGGACACATAAGCACCTGACAGGCTCATGACTGAGCCTGGATGTGGGTTCCTCAGGCCCAGTCAATTAGATGATTGCAGGTCCACTGGAATGCTTTACTTGTCACAAGAGACTCTGGGCCAGAACTCCCCAGCTAAGCAGCTCCTGAGTCTCAGAAACCAAGATAATAAATGTTTGCTGCTTTACAACTTACTTCAAAATACCCCAGTAATACACAAATACATGTGTGTGTGCATGTATATAAAAACAGATGAAACAAACATGGAAAAATGTTTATAACTTGAATATAGATTATAAACATTTGGTCTATGGGTTTCATCACACTCTTCTTTCAACTTTGCTATTTGCTTAAAATTTTTGACTTAAAAATTAAAATAGAAAAAGAAACACTAACATGTTTATTTCTGGTAATATAGAGAACCATCCCATCGGAAAATAAACAAAAAATAACAGATAGAATTTAGTAACATTTTCATAAAACTATCAATGAGCTGACAAGATAGTTATCTCCATGGAATCTCAGTGAAGCAGGAGCCAGGCAAGGTAAGCCAAGCATTAAAATTTGCTTATGCTCTGAGGGCATTTGTTGAACACAGCAAACTTGATTTGCAGTTTTCATAGCTTCACAGAGGGCAGGAGGGTGGGAGTGGAAAATAGATTGGTACTATTTAAATTATCATAAAGATACACATTCCCTATGACCTAGAAATACACTATTAACTGTATCTTAGAGAAATTCTTGCATATATGTGGTAGGATGTATATAAAAAACTATACATACCATCATTGATCATAATAGCCTCACACCAAGAGATAATGAAAATGTCCATCAACAGCAAAGTGAATAAATTATGATATATTCATACAACAGAACACTACTTATAAATCAATCCAAATAAATGAATACATTACAGGTATATGGATCAATCCTACAATGTTGACTAAAAGAAGCAAGACACAAAATACAGAATATAAATCTAATCATAAAAAATTTAAAATCACATAAAATTAAACTATATTCTTCAGAAATGCATATATGGGTGGTAAAACTATAAAGAAAAGCAAATGACTGATTAGCACAAAAGACAGAAAACTAGTTTCCTTTAAGGGGGTGTGCAGTGTAGTAAATTACATAGTACGGCTTTTCTAGCCGTAAGTCTTTGTAAACTCCGTGGTGGAATTTGCTGTGAGCAACTGAGTAGCTCGTGATTGTAATCCACTTGGGGTATTTCTGTTGGGAGCAGCACGAAGCAATCTTCTGGGAAGTTCTCTCTCTCAGGTGTATAGAATTTTGATGTTGGGATTGGTTAGTTTGGCCACTCTGTCAGGCTCAAAAGGAGCCTTCCTAGAGGCAGAAGGAGTCCCTCTGACTGCTGGCTGAGAAAGACATGCTGCTGAGAGAAATAAGCTCCCAAGAGACATGCACTTGCTGAGAGAGAGATGTGAGAAGACTGCTGAGAGACACGAGACACATGCTGAGAGGCGCAAGACAAGCTGCTGAGACGCAAGACGCGCTGCTGAGATGCAAGACACACACTGCTGAGAGAGAGATGTGAGAGACATGCAGCGCTGAGAGTGCGATGTGCTACTGAGACTGCTGGCTGCTGAGTGAGACGGCCAGCTGTGAGAGACTGAGCACATTTCTAAACTTGAATTGTAGCCTGTTGCTTCCCTAATAAACCCCATAATCTGTGAGTTCTGTGTGGCCACTGCAGTGAATTATCAAACCCAGCAGAGAGGTGGTGGGTGCTGCAGGAGGAATGGTTGGTCAAAGGGCTGGAGGTAGGCAGCATGTCTGGCCTCACAGGAACAGCCTTGGACTACTGATGGCAATTCTGTCTTCCTCTTGTGGGGTTAAAGGAGGTCAGAAGATGGCGCCTCCCTGCCCCTTTGGCAAGGTGCAGAACAGTGAGTGCTATGACCAGAAAATGGCATGGGGTCAAGCTTCTGGTAGGCTGGCAATGTTCTATTTATTGATACAGTTATGAGTAGATGGGTGTATTATGAATTTTTTTATTCCATGACACAATAGTCAAGAAGGATTATTATACATTTTATAACAATAAGTTTAAAAATGTATGTGAAAGAATCAAATTTCTAGAAAAAGTCACTCAATTAGAGACAGAAAATATAAATCCTCTTAAATCTATTTAAAACACTGAATTGAACCACTACTGCAAAACATTCCCACAAAGAAAATTCAAGGCCCAGATGGCTTCAACCACAAATTCTACCACACATTCAAAGATGAAGAAAGAAGAGAAAAAGAGAAATCCCTGTTGAATTTCTTTTATGAGACAAACAAGCTTGGTCTCTAATAAGGAGAGTAAGAGAAAAAATTATAAGCAAGATGTGCTAATGAACATAGATTTTAAAGTGTGACTAGACCAAGCCTGGGTGTCTATTTGTTTGTATGTGTGTGTATATACAGTGTGAATTAAAGCAGGACATTGATTTTATGTGTGAGCTTTGAGCATTCTTGTTCCCTAAGGTAGCTTAGTGCCTAAGGCACTTGACGGCTAACCAGAAGGCTGGTGGTTCAAACCCACCAGCCATTCCTCGGAAGGAAGATGGGGCAGTCTACTTCTGTAGTAATATTGCCTCGGCAATCCAAGGAGGGGTCACTATGAGTCGGGCCCGACTCGACAGCGCATAACAACAACAACAACAACAAGGTAAAACCACTATTCCAAAGGTAATGTCAATGCTTAAGTCTCAAAATGAAAGGACTACTAAAAAAGAAAAAAAGGCAAACTGAGCACTAAGCATTCCAGAAAAAGAGATACCTCTTGAATTGGTGGTATTTGAAAAGAGCATCTCACTGCATCCCAAGCTGGACATTGGCAGCCTAGCCCCATTTTACCACTTGGCTTTTTACTCTTTTCCTTTCTATTTTCCACATATTCCCACTTTCTAAAGAAAGATAAGGGGGGTAAGGTAACTTATTCATGCCATGAAAATGGAGTTTGAGTCCTTCCAGATTCTCTTTTAAATAACACCCAAACCAAACCCACTGTGGTTGAGTCGGATTCGACTCATAGTGACTTCTCCTTGGGTTTCCGAGGCAGTATCACTACGGAAGTAGATTGCCCAACCTTCCCTCTGAGAAGTGGCTGGTGAGTTTGAACCGCCAGCCTTCTAGTTAGCAGTCAAATGCCTTAGGCACAACCTAAAATGTAATTGATTTACTCTTTTTAACTTATAACTCAATATTCTACCTCTAAGGAAAAGCTTACTTTTAAAATTAAAATGCTCAATCTCTAAAATTTGCTCTTTTTATCTTTGTTTGCTTTAATTTGATAAACACCTTCAGATTTTTTAGTAAGGCTGATTTATAAACTATGATAGGCATGACAAAGTTTACAAGTATACTAAGTATATTTATGCTTAAAAATATTGTTTTAGGCAATAACTCTTAAAAATACAGAAGTCTTTATTAATTACCTTGCACAACCAAATGCCATTAGTCGATACTTGTTATTTACTGCTACACAAGTTCCATCAACAACATCTTGGGGCCAAACTCCATGAAGCTGCTACAAAATTAAAGGAAATACCAGAGCAGTAGAGTATTATTAAAACAACTAGTATGTGGAGATAAATATCAAAATAACCAGTAAAGGAGCAAAAAGTAGTTGCCTCCAAAATGGATAACTGGGAGTAGGCAGAGCAGGGAAGAGGGCAGGAACTATTGTTTTTCTTCAACATGTCTCATAGAATTATTTGTCTATTTATACCATTTATATGTATAGAGCTCATTTCAAAAGTATTTAACAACAACTTCTAAAATAATAAATAAGGAAAATCGGGTGTGTGTGTTAATGACAGTGAGTAAAATTAATGAATGCAAAATAAAGAAAATAAACATGCTGTTATCAGTCAGTCATACCTCTGCAGTCAATCTACTTGACACTGGTGTAATAAACCCCACTTTGCCATCATTAAACACAACGGCAAACCCATCCAGTGTGGCACAGTATTCCATGTCTCTGATATACACATCTGCAAAGCCTAGGAATGAACCTGCTGATGATAAAAGAAATAGATGAATCACTCTCTCACACTGTTTGCAAACTCTGTAAGGACAGTTAGAAGGACAAAAATAACAATCTAACAACACTGAACACTTAAACTACCCTTTCCTCTTTACAGAGGCACATATATATATTATCTGCCTTGCATAATTAATTCTAAAGTAGAAAAGTCAATGTTTGTCCACGGAAAATACCTTAAGGAAATTATCTTAAATATCGTACACCTGGTTCTATCCCCATGTGGAAGGTATAACTACCTCTAGATGACTGCAGATCTACTGAAAAGGGTACTGTGCAAAGATTAATGGCTTTCCTTCCATTTGTCATGCCTTCCCAGTGAATAAGATGAAGAAGTCCATCAGAAGTAGCAACCAGGAGATCTTCCAGCACAGACTGCAATCTGTAGGGAGTTAAGCAATTTAGAGTCAATTAACTTTTTTTCTTTTAATTGTGATCTGGTTTACAAAACAACTTGGTTTTCTATTCAACAATCTGTACACATTCTGTTTTGTGATAATCAACCCACAATGCCACAGCACTCTTCCCACTTCCTCCCAGTACCACTTCCTTTCATCCTTCCTTCCTTCTCATCCCCTCTCACCTTCCTAGCTCTATGCCTAGGCCCTCTTGATCTCGTATGGTTATTTGATCTGAAGAGTGCACCCTTCCTGGCATCACTAAATTTAAAGAGAGAGCATAATGGGAAAGCAGTGAATATAAATATAATTGCTTTGGAGAATACTTAGGCAAAAAAGATCATTAAAACCATTTACAAAGCATCTCCATTTATATGGAATTTATCTACATAGCCTTTTTTTTCTACCTATGATTCACTCTAGAGTTAAAGAGTCTGGATGAAGGGCTATAGGCAGCTATAGTTACAAACTTGATGAACTGGGTTTAAAATTAGAAACATGAAACGGCAAATTAGAAGTGGAAGGATCAATGAAAGATGACAAGAAAGGGATGAGGCAGAGAAGCTATAAAAAGGCCTAGAACTAAAAACAGAATGACAATCTAGAGCCATAGAGTGTAGAAGTAAACAAGCTGCTAGTATTGTCAACAGAACTTTCTGCAATGATGGAAATAGTCTGTAGCTGTACTATCCAACATGGTAGCCCTTAGCCATATGTGGTTACTAGGCACTTGAAACATATCTAGTATGACTTAACTGAATTTCAAAATTTATTTTCATTTAATTAACTTAAATAACCTCATGTGACTAGTGATTACTGTATTAGAGAGCCTAGCTCTACATTAATGTGTTTCTAGGGTACAACTGAGTCTCATACTGTTCATTCATTCAACAAACATTTAACAAGCCATACTCTGTGACAGGTCTTACGCTGTGTGTTTGAGATTCAAAGATGAGTAAAATATAGCCCCTCCTTCAGAAGACCTCAGTAGTTAACACTATGTGTAAAGATATATAACATTTACTTCCCCACTCATCGGGAAAATGGAAGGAATGCTGGGCAATCTACTTCCGTAGTGATACCGCCTCAGAAACCCAAGGAGTGGTCACTATGAGTCGGGTCCGACTTAATGGCACATAACAACAACAACAATGGGGAAAAATGCCTACAGAGCTAGTTACATATTTGGCACTAAATGTCTGGTAGCATAGCGCCTAAGGCACTTGACCGTTAACCAGAAGGCTGGCGGTTCAAACCCACCAGCCACTCCTTGGAAGGAAGGTTGGGCAATCTACTTCCGTAGTGATACTGACTCAGAAACCCAAGGAGGGGTCGCTATGAGTCGGGTCTGACTTGACAGCACATAACAACAACAACAAAAAATGTTTGTAAGAGGGAAGGAGGAAAAGAGGACTAGAGTGAAGAGAGGGGAACCCACAAATGAAACTTCAATACTAATAGGGAAGAGAAAACGAGAACCAAGGGAACCACTGACAACTAGTTTCAAGAAAACTGAGGCAATAAAGTAGATTTAAGAGAAAGAATTGTCAACAGTATTAAGTTCTATCAAGACTTTATATACATATACATATAGATAATTTCCTTTCATATTTAAGAAGGAAATAGTGTATTTTAGAAATATCTTAATCTATAATGGGGAAAATATTGTTAATGCTTTAATTTGTACACTAAACCTTCAACTATTTGGACAGTTCAATGACTCACTCCTCAAAGGTTTATGGTAAGGAAGACTTTATTGTATTTTTGTTCTCAACTACAGAAGTACTGAAAAGGGCTAGAATAAGATGTTTCCTTACCCAGCTCTCTCTCTCTCTCAAACTTCACAGCATTTGGAATCAATTAAAATTCTTAGTTTACAGAAAGTTTTTAAGAATTCACCTTTTACAATATTATATATTCTTTCATTTCAAATGTATATTTTAGGGACAAAATTTACGTGTATTATGTGGTGAGCAGAGTATAAAAATTTTGTATTTTTGACCTGCTACTACCTGTCTAAGGAGCTCTGGCAGCATAGTAGATAAGGCATTTGGCTGCTAACCAGATCAGTGGTTCAAACCCACCAGCCGCTCCATGGAAGGAAAACAGGGTGATCTACTTCTGTAAAGATCTACAGCCTCTGAACATGTCTAGAGTCTATTTAGTGGAGATAGTCACTGGGTCAGCAGTGACTTTCATTCAGCAGGATCAGCCTAGATTTTTGGCAGACTATATTCTTCTCTCCCAATGCCTACCTTCCTAACCCACCCAAGGAACCTACACGGAAGGAGCTGCAGTTAGCAATGTGTCAGGCATGTGACCAGCATAAAGGCAGAATAATGACTGAGAACTACTGCTCAGTGTTACAGAATCATAACACTTCAGAGAAGAAAGTAAAACTTACACATATTGTCTTCTTTTTCCTGAGAGATACCATATAACATCTTACCCAGAGCCACTTCCTTCCTAGAAGTAGCTGGTGGGTTTGAACTGCCAACCTTCTGGTTAGCAGTCAAATGCCTTGGGTACTACGCCACCAGAGCTCCTAAATAAAACATACATCTAAGGTATTCTTCACAACTCTCAGCAGGTACTTTATAGTTAGAAGAACCCTCTTCCATCTGGGCTTTAACTGGCGAAAATAATTTGGTTCCTATGACAACATACCAACATTCAAAACCAAAGTAGGGTATTTTAAAAGTCTGCATGATGATTAAAGTCATTTGGATACTTAAAAAGCATTTTCATAGAGAGTAAAAATATGTTTCAGTCTTTCCTAGGGGATAAGAATAGGCTTAGTTAAAATATCACAACTCCAACTCTAAGGGGGAAAACAATTTTTAGGCTTTTTTTCATTCAACAACTGTGTACTGCATACTCACTATGTGTGAGGCCTAATAACAGGTGTTGGAGAAACAAAACAGTGCTTACTCTTGACGCTCACAGTATGGTTGCAAAGGAATACAGAACACAGAAAGGTGGTAATAACTTAAAGAACAGAGGGTCAGAGAAGTCCCAAGGAGGAGTGTTGAAAAATGTAAACACAAGGTGACTGGCTGACATGAAAGCTGAGTCTCCTTGTAGGCAGAGTAGGAAAATGTAGGGTGAGCAAAGGGAATGAAGACTTTTCGGCTGGCGGTTCAAACCCACCAGCCACTCCTCGGAAGGAAGGTTGGGCAATCCTACTTCCGTAGTGATACTGCCTTGGAAACCCAAGGAGGGGTCGCTATGAGTCGGGGCTGACTCAACGGCACATAACAACAACAACAACAACATCCTTACAAAAGCAAGGAATTACAACAGAGCAGTTAGAGAACGGAAGAAGCTCTAGACTGGAATTGTAGGGGCCTGAAGGAGCAGAAGGAAGAAAACTAAAAATGTAGTCTGGAGAAAATGGGGAAGGATTTTGTATTCTATTGATAAGGCGGTAAACAAATATTGTTAGTAGTTGTCACACATGAGTGGAAAGTGACCAGGATTTTTTTTTTTCTTTTTTTTAAAGAAGATGTGTGTGGCAAAATATGGGAAAAAAAGGGAGATCAGATACAGCTAGGAAACCACACAGTATTATAGGCAAGAAGTAAGAAGGGAATGATAATAGTAGTTTTCACTGATGAAAATGAGGAGATGGACTTGAGAAAAAGGGAAAAAAGCAGTAAGAATCCATTAATCAATTGAATGTGGAAAATGAAAGGGAAGGGTGAAGAGAAGATGACTCCATGTCCTCCGAATTGGACTACTGGCCAGTGTGACATCCATACCCAAGACAATGAATATAGAAAGAACAGATTCAGGAAAGTTTAAGTTTAGGCATGTTTGAGATACCTGTGGGATATCCAAGTACTCAGACAGTTGGAATATGGTCTGGAGCTGAGAAATTATATCAGAACTGAAGACAGATTTGGGATTCATCAGCACTGCAGCTGCACATAAAATCTCTTTCAAATCTCTGGTTGATGCTTAAACTATCCATACTGAGTTGAGACTTCAAGCAACTTGGGGAAAGCCACACAGATATAGGGCTGAAAGAGCTGAGATTTCAGTAGCTACCCATTGCACAAGAGACAGAGTTTGTAACATGAGTCCCAAAAAGTCAACAGGGGCATGACAAACATTTCAAACTTTCCACTTAATCCCCAGAAGGCTCTGTACCTTAGAAGCAGAGACTATGTACCAGGACTACAAGCACACTGAAGTAGATCCACCCTAAGGAGCCTTAAATCAAATCTTCACCAGATCAAAATAAATGAACTGCCTGGTAAGCAAAACTCAACCTCTTCCAGTAAAGTTAATAGAATTCACAGTCTCTACAACATTATCATTCACAATGTTGCGATAAAATATAATGACCAGATGTGTGAATAAATACGAAAATGTGATCCAGAGTCAAAGAAGTCAATCAATATAAATAGACTTATAGATAACTTGATGCTGGAATTAGTAAGTAATGACTTTAAAATACCTGTGGATAAATGTAATAAAGAATCTATAGAAAAGATATATTCTTCTCTTCACTGAATTGAAAGTAAACAAACTTGTGAAAAGAAACACTTGATGACAGATACTAAAGTCCTGAATACTTCCATCAAACCAACCAGCTGCTATTGAGTTGATTTCAACCCCATTTGTGTCAGAGTAGAACTATGCTCCACCAGCTTTTCAAATGCTGATTTTTCAGCATCAGATCAACAGGCCTTTCTTCTGAAGCACTTGCAAGTGGACTCAAGCCGACAATCTTTTAGCAAATAAGTTTGTTAACGATTTGTGCTACCCAAGGACTCAAAAATACAAATATTTACTATTTCACTAATATTAAATAGTAAATATTACATAGTGCTTTTTTTCGGTGTCAGGGATGGGGAAAATATGGAATAAATTGGTATTTGAAAGTTAGAAACAGGACAATCTAAGAGTTTTGATTATTAGTTATATTAGTACTTCTTATTTTCTAAATATTCCCTGTCCTCCATTAATAACAATGTTT